AGATCCTGTGACCACCAACACACATGACATAGATTTCAAACTGATCCTCACAGCTGTATAAACTACCCCAGACCCTTGGACTTTTTTGTTTCATTTGTTTTGTTTCATTTTTCTGTGAGTAATATGTGATGGAGCTCCAGGGATGTTGAACTGCCCGTGTAAACTTGAGTTTAAGAAGTCTGCAACCTGTGGCTGTGCAGTGATTAAGCTTAATCCAATGCCGTGTGGAGTTTATGAACTCCATGGAGGACCAGTAAAAACGTAAGAAGTAACTTCAAAATGAACCCACCAAACCACTCAAAAATAATCAAGGCACCAGTCCTTAATCAGGACAATATAGTAAACCAAATTTGGAGTTTCTAGCTGAGCTGTTTGATTGATGACTCCAGAAAGTGTGAGGAACCATTTTTGGAAAAGCAAACTGCTGGTTTTTGGTTTTGTTTTTTTCGGGGGGGGGGCAGAGGGGGGTTTGGTCTCAAGTGGTCGCACCTGATTAACACCTTGCTGTATGACTCCCCAGATTTTCTGAAACATATCTCTGGCATAGGAGCACCATGTGTGAGAAATCTCAAGTGGATTGGTATAATTTTTTCAAAGCTAGTTTCTTGGAGGCTTGGCGAGATATCACAATTAATGGTTTAGCAGAAAACTAGTCACGGCCTTAACTATGGAGGGGGTGTCTCCCATTTTGCTGATGAATGCAGGCTTTCCTGCAGTTTTTCTTCCCTCACACTGCAGCCCTCCTCCATTTAAAATGAAAAAGGCAGTAATTAGACAATAACCTGTTGTATTTTCCCTCCTGCTATTCAGTCTCTTCATAACCTGTAGGTCATTAGCCGTGTCTTTATGCCCAGCCAGGATTGTGTCCATATCCTTTATGACCTCATCCTGTTTCCAGTTTCAAGGTGGCAGTGGGGAGACACATCTTTAGGGTGCTGCCTGTCGGTCATTGTGCAGCAACACGCTGACTTTGGGGCTTGCAAAGGACGTGGTTAGGTGAGGAGAAGATGCAGAACAAGGTCATGGTTAGTGGTAAACCTGCAGTTCCCATCATCCCAAGGGTACTTCAGAGAATGAACAGTGGCACCTGTACGGATGCCAGTGGTTCCTGTTGCATAGCAGCGGTGCAGCTGGATCTAGTTTAATAAAACCACCCTGTAAAAACTTCTACTTCAGCCCTTTGGTGTGGAGGGCTGCTGCTGTGCATTTCCTATTCTGCTTTGTGCACACAGCACTAATGGTTGAACAGCAGGTGTGTGAGCACTGCGCCCTCTCTCTAAAGCTGAGATTGAGACGGCAGGTCACGAAAGTGTTGTTGCAGCTGCAGGTCATGTGATGCGCTTAATAGCATGTGCGTATTGTAACCGAAAAGGCGTCTCAAACACTGACCTTCCAGCCTTTCCCCATCTGTATCTGTTTAACATACAGATGGGGTAAAGCACATTCCAGTTTTGCTGGACCCCTGCCGCCCATGCGGAAGGAAAATACTTTTAACTGGCACATAATGAACCTACCATTCTTGTTCCCTCCATTCCCCACCCCACCAATCAGGGAAAAAAACCTCTGCTTTTCCAAATGCCTTTGAATAAGAAATGTCCTGGTGAGAGCTGGGCTAATCAGTCCCCTGTGTGTGGGAAGCCGGGGCAGTGTGTGTTTGGTGGAACTGGGAATCAGGATCCAAGTGTGTTTTCAGTGCCTGTGTTGGGTTTAATGAGCTGCATGATGCTACATCCCTTGGGGCAGTCCCCCTTCCTGTCACTACCATGCTCACTGGCAGTATTAAAGAAGTGGTGGGATGTTGTAAACAACACTGCTTACAGCATAGTGGGTTGGATTTGTCTCATCACATTCCAGTCATCCTCATCTCCATTGATGAAGTTCTTCCTTCTTTTGAAAATGCAGATGGAATGGGCACAAATCAGTGATGGGGCCAGTCACAGAAGTCAAGGGAAGAGAGAGAGAGACCAGGTCTGTGAAGGGAACGAGAGAGCTGGGTCCATCATTAGAAGGGATGCGGCCGGGTGTGGGGCCATTACTGCAGTACAAATTATGCCTGGATCCCTATGGCAGGAAAGCAGGGACCTTCTAAAGGCTAGCCCTTTGTTGAATTTAATGAAAATGAGGCGAGTTAGCTGCCATCTGGAACTGAAGAGCCTTCCCCAAAGCTACTGTTGCTTTTTTCAGTCAGAAGGTTGTATCTTGTATCTGATGCATTTCAGTTACCCTTGCATGCTCTCTGTCTACATGCATCTTCAGAGGGGAGAGGGACCAGTCAGTAACTTTCCTACAGGCTAGTTTCAAATGGGTGTGTAGAAGTGTGACCCCTGGCTGGTGCTGACACACACTGCTCTGCACTGCTCCTCTTCTCGATGCAGTTAGGAGCATACAATGTGTTTGCATGCCTGGGAGCTGAGACCTCCCTGGTACAATTTGACTTTACGTTGACTGTGTAGTTGGGGAAATCCATTGCCAGTCTCCATTTTTCTAAGCTGGGTTGCTGGGTCATGCTGGGGATTGTATTATTGTAAGTTTGTAAAGAATATAATTTGTCTGTTTGGAGAAGGATGGGGCCTTTCTCTTTCTAGGTAAGGCTGCTATTTGTTGGGAGGAGGGTGGGGGTCTAGTGGCCTTGGGCACAGGACCTTGGCCTTTGTCAAAACAACTGTAAGTGCTCCTGGGCAACAGGACTGCAAGTTGCTGCTGCAGCAGAGACCTCCCACACCAAGCTTTGAAAATAAACCGTATACAAAAGCTACATACTCTGGGGATCTGACTCACACAGGGCTCTGCACTGCAGCATGTGGCTGGATTACAGGACTCTCTGCCCGTGCTGCAATACACCAAGTTTACACCATGGGTAGACTCACATGGGAGCTACTACACAGCTCAGCAGGCACGTACTGGAAAGTTGTGTTTAATGTCCTAAAAGCATCCAATTTGAGAATGGCGCCTAATAAATTCCTCCCCTAACTTCCCATGTGCGTCCCTCCTCCCCAGCTGGGGCTCAGGTACCTCACTCTAATGCCTTCTCCACTGCTCCTGGAAAGCCCAGGTCTCAGTCCTCCCTGCCTCGCCCCGCCCATGGAGCACAGTGTCAGGGACTCTTTTCTCTCTCCTGCTGCTGCGAAGCTGTGTGAACTTTCCTGGTCGATACTGGAAGGGGGAATGCTATTTATTTTTATATTGTGTATATTTTGTCTTGGTCTGCTGATTCTTTCTCCGAGAGCGACAGTTACCTCAATAGTTAGTTTAATACTGTGTGATGGGTAATTTTTTTAAGAACTTTTTTAAAAGCTTGATCCTTGGAGGTCTGTAGATTTTATTTCCATATGAATTGGTTATTTTGTATAAAGTACATTCTTAAAATAGCAACTGCCCTTGCTGTGCGTGTATTTTGTCTCCTAAATGGTCTTCCTATGGAATCTGGAGTGGTGGGACTGAGGAAGTGCTTTTCACAAAGGCAAAGCGTTGAACTGTAATCGGCTAAGGTCATGCCATCTGGAAATGTCCTCAAGGTCATTTATAAGAGCACCTGGAAAACCAGCAGGGCAGCTGTCCTTAACATAACTGTCTGCATATGAACTAAAATTATGAAATTAGAGGTGGTGTCATATCTGTCCCATGAACCAATGGAGGACTATTTCCTATGCTGTAGTGTTTTGCTCAAGCCAGATTTTAGTCTCCGATGATGGGGGATTCATCTCTTTCTTTTAATCCCGTCTGAAACAGTTCGCCATTTAACTGATCTTAATGCTAGTACGTTCCCTTGCGCTCGTCCTAAATCTTCGTTTGTCTTTAAAAGGGCGGAGAAGGTTTGAAGGATGAAATTAAGCGAAGTCCACAAGGCCCAGCTGCTTTTAAAGGTGAACTAAACGTCACTTCTTTGGTTGCCTTTAATTCTTTCTAATGCTAAACGTGCCAGAGGATAGAGGCCTGGATAGTTCAGGGGATTGGTAATGGAAAAGGGAGCCCTTCAAGCTGGAGGCCACTGTTTTGAATCCAGACTAAATCCAAAGTGACTGTTAGCATCTGCTGTCTGTTAAACAGCCTCTGTGAAATGAGGCGGTGGTCATCGCAATCTATTTTGAGTAGATGGGGGTTCCCATGACAGACCATGCTTTAGTTGACAGTTTCAGCACCAAAGCTGAGAACTGATCTTACCCATTCATACTTAAAGGTGATTCCTCAAGGTATATTTTGGGAAGCTGGCTCTTGTCATTCCTGGAGCTGTTCTCTGGATAACCAGTGAGTTTGTCTGGTGATCCAGCAGCTTTTCATCAGTACTAAATTCACGTTTTAAAAAAAAGACTGTCCCAACTAATCTCTGAGCAGTTGATAACTGGAGGTGGGGCGTGGAAGACTCAGGCAGCATTTTGAGATGTAAAACACTTCCTTTCCCATTCCTCCAAAGCTGCCACTCATAAAAGCTCCCCTCTATCTCCCTGAGGGTTATAGCAGACATTGTTGCTCACATCTTCTTCTACTACACCTGCCTGTATCAGGCACTTATGCCGATACTGCTTGTTTTCCCTTCCCTCGGGAGCCCAAACTCGTTCCTGCTGGGCTGCAGTCCATAGAAAAACACATGAGGCTGCTCCTGAACCTGGCTTTCCGATGCAGTTTGGTCACCAAAGCTGCCCCTCGGTTTTGAAAAGAAACGAGAGCAAAATATTCATTGTCGAAGCTGTCTCTGCACTTGCATAGCTGCATTGCGTCCTCAGCAATCAGACTTTTATAGCATCTCTTTCTGTGATGCTCCTAAGGACTCAGAAACAGTGAATTAGCACCGTGGTATTGTAGGTGTTCATTTTAAAGACAATGGGGAAACTAAGACCGATTGTTTGCTCAAGATTAAACAAACCATCTGGGAATAAAAACACAAATCTCCTGTCCCACTCACTGTCTGCTCCTGGGGCCTGTGCTTGTAGCTCCCTTTGACCAATTTATCTGAGGGCAGATTTTGGCTCCAAGTGGATAAATTAGGAATGATTTACTACATCGTTGGGGCTTGCTGTACCTTTGTCTTACGTTATGGGCATGGCCACCGTGCATTAAACCTGCAGAAGTCCATTCTGAGTCACTGTGCTAACAGGCTGTTCAGAGAACCCCTGAGTGACAAAGGATGACATGATAAGCATGCATGATAGCACTGCAGCTAGAGGCACTGAAGCATGGATCAGCCCATCAGAACTACATCTCCCGTTTCTGCTGGTGCCAGCTGGCCTTCTGTCTCTTCCTGGGGCAAGGTAAGTGAACCGGTCGGCCACGCATTTCCTGACAGCAGCTTCCATTCAGTGTGGCTTCTAATGGGGTTTGTTCCTCTAAGTTGGGAGTCTCTGTAAAGGGAGATCCATTCCCCTGGTTCTCAGGTAGATAGCCAGCGTCATTCTGTCACATTCGCACCCACTACTTCCCTGGCCCCGACATGTATAATTCAGAGGTGGGGGAGAGTGAAGCTGGAGTCCAATTTAGGAGGGGAAGGAATTCTGTTGCTTCCTCGATCCCAGGAAGCTTTTGAGTCAGAGGGGATTTGGGGAGGGGGCTGGGGGGATTCTAATCCTCAGGCTAAACCAGCTCTGAGCTGAAATGACACTAATTGGAACCAGTCCCTGAGAGGGGGCGATAGTGGCTCTAAAGGCAGCAGAATATTAAACAGAGACAAAGCTCATCTGTTTTATAGAAAATGCCCCACACTAATCTCAACAAGCTGCTGTCATGTGCTTTTGACAGGGAATGTCAGCCTAGGCCATGTGCTGGTGGGAATGAATAGCACCCAAACTCTGATTCTTCAGCCTGCGCCTTTCTAGTTTCTCCTCTGGGCCAGCTAGGCTATGTGGGGGTGGTGGAATTTATTTTGGGGGGAGTGGTGGGGGGAGAAGAGCAGGGTTCCCTGTGCAGAGAACAGCTTGCAGATGACATCTAAACAGACCACTCTTTGATAGTGGTGTAGGTCCCTTGTACCTGAGAACTGGGCTGTCCCCCAGGCTGTGCCTCTTGACTGCCCCTCCATTTCAGCACAGCTGTCAGCTATGTTAACCTGAATAAGGGAGGCCTTTTTAAATTGAGTGTTTATTTCCGTGCCTGGTTTGTCTGCTTCCAAGGCTGGCCTTGTGGGAATCCCCCTGGGTGAGCTTTCTTTCAGTGGAACACACATCCTAAGATGCTCCATGAGACCACAGTCCCCTCTCTTTCAGATCTCTCAGCACCCATCCTGCTACAACGCCTGCAACAGAGCTGTCAGAGGCTTTTATTATATACATACAGACATTTGCTCCATCATGCTGTTTACAAGACTTTGTTGAATGACCATGTAATTATTGCTGTATCATCCCGCACTACTGTTTTGATGATCTCCCCTCCTTTAGTGTATCATATTTAGAATTAGATTGCAAGGGACTGTCTCTTATTTCTAGTGGGAGGAACTTTTGCCTGCTGGAAAACTTCTATTTGACTTTTCCCTGTAGCACCAATCAGCGTAGTAGTGTAATGTGTCTTAAAGAAATGGTCCAGATCTGAACACCCCCTTGAGTTTTTGAGAAATGGATTTGAATTCTGTCGGTCATATCTTCCTAATTTGCACTGAAACATAGCAGAACCCTTCACCACAATATCTTGCTACTTCATAGTGTGTAATATCTGCCATACACCCTGTATCCTGAAATGTGTTACTTTCATATTTAAGACTTAATTTCTCCCTCTGTTATTGAAGAAGAATAGAAGTGGGAGAACTGTGATGCATTTGGATGAAATGGTGAAGGTGAGAAACCTTAAGAGTGGAGAGACAGCCCAGCCTCACTGCATCACTCAGCTGCATATCACTGTGTTATTCTGGAAACTCAATAATATACACTGAAAATGCAGTGGCCTCTCCCCAGCCATGATTTTCCACAAAGATCCAAGAGCAGAGCTCATGTAGTGCTTTTAGGTGATGATTTCAAAGGCCTTTACAAAAGTGGGAAAGTATTCGAGCCAGTCGGGAATTTTGTCTGTTTTTTTAATGAGAAAAGCATTTTCCACAAAAATGATTTTTTTCCACAGGAATATTTAGAGTTTGCTGAGACTTTTTGATTTTTCCATGGATAAAATCTAAATGAAATAGTTTGTTTTGAGTCAAGTTGACTTGAATCATAACAATTACATTTGCTCAAACTAATCAGAATGTTTCATTTTGACATCTAATCTGTGTCTACCTGATCGGCTGTAGTGCCCATGGGGGTTGTAGTTTGCATCCTATGTGCCCCTATTCTTCTTAATGGGCTGTGATCCCTGGCAGGACTACATCTTCCATGACACACTGCCATGCCCTCTCTGGTTTGAACAGCCTAAGTGCATCATGAGCGTAATGTGACCGCAGTGCATCATGGGAGATGTAGTTCTGCTGGAGAGTCCACCCAGAGAGGAGACGGAGAGAGAGGCATGAGGAGAGGGATGGCATGAGCCACTCGAACTGCAGCACCCATGAGACACCTCATGAGGATGCCGGTTTGTCTAACTAAGCCAAAATGAAAGCTTTCAGTTCTGTTAAGTGAAAAAGTTTTGTTTTGATTGAAATGTTTCATTGTTTCCAAATTGAATTTTTTGGAACTTCATGTTCCAGGAAAAATTTTAATATTTTGGCTTTTTGTCCCAATTTGAGATTTAAAAACAAAATTTTGAAATATTGGCATTTCTTGGGTGATGGAAATTCTGATTTTTTTTTTTAAACCAGTTCTAGAAAATATTCTTGTTTTGCAGTCAGGGAGACCAAGGCACAGATTGGTAAAGTGATTTGACTAAAGTCACACACATACCAAGCACATGGAAGAGTCAGAAATAGAATTTAAGGTCTCCTGACTCACAGCCCTACGTTCAGTCCCTAAAGCATAGTTTCCCCTTTAATGTTTTTACAAAAGAGAGCACTCTGAAGTATTTTGCATAAAAATACTAACACTAAACACCATTCAGTACAAAACAGAACATGGCTGGCTTTGCTTCGCTCCCTGAGCCTGTATGGGCCTCCCAGGCATTACTGCAAATTGAGAGTTTCTGTTATACTGTAAAAATAGTCTTAAAATCAACACACAAAGGGAGAAGTCCCTCCCTGCAAATGAGTGAAGCTTGGCAGCTCTGTGCATGTTCTCTGAAGCCCCATGTGGAGAAGAAAAGGCTCGGGTCTGGAAGGGGGTACATGGGCTTTTGGGGAGAGGGTGAGCATGGGAAGGGGCAGCTTGGGTGGGGTTTGTAATGTGATAGCAGCCCTCTGGCTTGAAGTCTCTCCAGCTTTTTGCTGCAGCATTTCCTTTCTGTTTGGGTGGAGCTACTCCTGCTCTCCCCAGCAGCACCAGGAAACCACATGTTCCCTGCCAACTTAAAAAACCCATTTCTTTCCATAACACACTCTCAGTAGTTAGGGATTGTAAAAAGATCACCCTCTCTTCCCAAATGCACCAATTCTTCCGGGGCTGGCGGGCAAAAGTTGTTTGCAATTTCCTGGGGCCTTGACCTTTGTGTTTTGACCATGGCACAGAAGAGGAGAATTGCAATCGATCAAACCCTGGCTCCTCTCTGACATACAGCGGGAGGGGGAAGGGCCCCATCTAAGCCAATGTTGGCAGAGAAGAATTTTGCTAAACACAGAAGGGCTTTGCAATTGAAGCTTTTTCAAAGGGTCAGCTTTGTCCACAGTGTAATTACTCCATTGAAGTCAGGGTAGGGTTGCCAATTTTGGTTGGATGTATACGTGAAGGATTCATCCCAGGAAGCAATCTTTAAAGATTAATCTTTAATTCCTGGAGACTCCAGGACAATCCTGGAGGCTTGGCAACCGTAACTCAGTGGAGTTGTTATTGCAGGGGCAAACCTGACCCTTTGTGTCAGTTGTTACTGTGAGCTTTTTGCTACCCCTAAGGAGAATGTACTGCAATCATGGACGGGACACCCAGCGTGTGCCAGAGCACCAGCTTTTAGGCCTTTTAGGCACTACTTCATATTGTTTGCATACGGTGGAGACAGCTGCCTGCCTTCCCTCCTCCTCCGGGGTGAAAGTAAATTAAGGGACTTACTGGTACGCAGGGCCGGGATCCTGAGCAAGGTGTGTGTGTGTGGGGAGGGGGGTGCTCAACTGGAAGGGGCGGGGCCTTTAAATCCCCAGGACCCTTTAAATCACCGCCAGAGCCCCATGGTAGCGGTCACGGCAGGGGCAGCCAGGAGCCTAGGGGCTCTGGCAGTGATTTAAATGGCCAGGGGCTCCGGCCACTGTCAGGAGCTCCGGGCCCTTTTAAATTGCCAGCAGGGGAAGCTGCCCCATGCTGGTACGGTCGGCTGTGTACCGGCTCTTGCCGATACACCGGACTGGACTGGCTTACTTTCACCTCTGCTCTTCCTTTACCCACTCAATCCACGATGAATGGCAAAAAGGACATTTATTCTCTTGAACCTTCCTTCCTGCATAGGTGTTAGATGCAGTCACAGTTTCTTCAGCCTCCCTCCCTTGGACCCAGGTTGGCTCCTGGCTGAGCTTTTACAGATCCACAGTTATTTCCTTAGAGCCTTGATGAGCTGGAGCAGTGAGAAGTGCAGTCGGCCTTCTGGGTTGCCATGTCTGTACAGCCAAAACAAGCGCTCCCCTAGGCAAGCAGAACGTTCAGTGTCAGTAGTATGCCTCAGGCTATGAGGCCTGGACTGTTGTCTCACCGTGCCTGGGACAGCACAAACCTTAGAGCTGGAGCTAAAGGCAGCCAGCCAGTGCCAGCGGGTTATACCACTGGTGGCACTTCTCACTGGTGCCATATTTTGATTCTTCAGGACTCCGAGCTACCGTGCCCCATGGAGAAGAAACAAGAGTGGAGCTGCCTCTCTTCTTCCAGTGGGAGAGACTGGACCATGATTTGCTGAGTCAGCATGGGACAGCAAGTTGTTGCTTTTATTGCTTGTGCCAAAGGCCAGCCCTGCTGCCTTTCCGTTGGCAATGGAAACTATCAGAATGTGTCTGCGATGCCCTTAGGTTCCTTCCAGCAAATGCTTAGACATACCCTATTTATTGGTGGGGTCCTTGTTGTTTTAGGGCAAATCTAGAGACCCCCAACCATGCTCCTTCCTTTAAAGCCCCCTTCCCTGAAAAGATCAGTGCTGGACGAAGATCCTGTTTATGGCAGGGCACAGGCTAAGGGGGGAGAGGATGTCCGTAGGCGAACTGGACTGAACCACACTCTCCTCTCATATTCTCTTGGGAATGCATCCAAGCTCTAGACACTCTGATATTTTCAGTGCCCTTTAGTTTCTGTGGGGTTTAAGAACATTCAGCACCATGGGGTTCTGGAGTGACAGGGACTCCTCAAAATCTGTCAGTCTGGCTCCTGTTTTAGCTACTAGACTCAATGAGAGTAAAGCAGGACCTGGTATCTAGTAGTTAAAGTAAAGGGTTGGAGGGCAGGAAGCAAAGAGGCAGGAGAGAGTTATAGGGTCTAAGATTGTAAGTTTCAATACTGATGGTTTAAACTCCAATGTCTGCCACTCAAGATCCTAGTGCCTTCATCACTGCAGCAGGGAAATGAGGTGAGGAAAAAACCAGGAACATTGCTGGGGAAATATATCCCACCCCAACCTGCCTTCATCTAATGTTCCCTGGAGCAATGCATCACAGAACCACAGACACCCCTGCACAAAGTATCCCTGGGGAAATGCATCACAGCCATATCTGCATCTGAAACAATCTTTCTTGGGGAAATGCAACCCACATACACCTTAGCCAAGCTTCCCTTGGAAATGTGCATCACGCTCCCACAGGCATCCCTCTGATTTGAGCATCCCTGTGCAGCTGCATCACACATACGCTCCCTGTGTCTAATTAGAGATTCCCTGTGGAAACTGATTCTTTCCCATGAATCTCTTAGTCAAGCAGCCACAGGTTCACAGATTTTAAAACGAGAAGGGAGCGTTATGATCACCTAATCTGACCTCCAGCAGAACACAGGCCATAGATTCACAGTGATTCTTCCATCTAGCTCAGCAACTTGTGGTGGAACTAGGGGGTGTTTTTTAAGACAACATCTAGTCTTCATCTTTTGTCTCTGGAAGAATTCACTATAAAAAAACAGATTTAAGTTTCTTTGTAGTAATGCACCTTTCCTGAAGGGGGGAAAGCTCCTAGCACAAGAATTATAATTCAGTGGATATAAGTCACTGGGAGCAGGAAAGCAACTCTCTAAATGAGGATGAAGAGTTGTTTGGAATTGAAGAGGGGAAAGCAGAGGTTGCCCAGAAAGGACGTGTCAGACAAACTGGTCACGAAGTGAGAGAGCCCCATCATGCACCACTCTCATGAGTGACTAGGAATAGCATGGAGTTTGGGGACCAGATTTGCTTACACATTTTTGTTTATCCTACAGATAAACCTCAAATATCTCTTAGGAATTCTCCTACGGTTTGTTAAAGTTTGTTAACATCCTTCTGAGGCCATTGTTGCATAGAAGGCTGAGTGCTGACTGGATTGATTCTCTGGATCAGCTGACTAGCCCTTAAATGTGGATATGAGGCCAAGTTTCTGTAATAAAGTGGGTAAAAGAAAACTGCCTGTGGGTGGAAGAGACCTAAATCTATAAGCATGTGAAGAGTGTAAGCACCAAGGGCTGAAATAATTGGTTCCTGTAGAACAAGGGGGAATGACTAGGAGCTATGGGATGAAATTAAGAAAGAAAAAGTGGAGGTTGAATATCAGGAAATGCTTCCTGATGGTGAGAGCTGTTTGACTATGAAACAGTCTCGGAGGGGAAATGGTGGAAGTCCCATAGCTAACGACATTTAAAACTAGAGTGGGGAAAGCCCAAACGAGCGAGCCTGCTCTGGCAGGGTTAGGGACTGACTGGTCTAGCAAGTCTGTGGTTCTGTTAACTGAATGATTATAGCCTGACAGTTGTGGGGAGGGCGTGGCTCAGCAAAGTGGGAGGAAATCCAGCCTTTGTTAATCTAAAAACCTGTTTTAATTTTAGGTTAAAAACCTAACAGGCATTTTTGTGTGAGATGTCTGTCCCCACCCAGAGGGAAAGCTCTGGCTGGAAGGGACAAGGAGTGACTTCTTTCCCAGGCTAAGGAAGGAAAAGCCAACCAAACAGAAAAAGCATTTTTACACTGCTTAAAAACAATGGGAATTTGTGAACTGTCCCTTAAGCCAGGGATGGGGTTTGCTTGCTAGTGAAATCCAGCTGTGAGTCAGATATTTGGGTTTGGAAGAGGAGCAAGGACAAGGAGAAGGGAGAAAACTGATGGGTCAGAAATAGAGGTAAGTCTCACCTCTTTCTCTTCTGACCTTATAGCAGTTCCATCTGTGCATCAGCCCAACACATTCACACACAGACGCTCCTTATCATTCATAAATACATGTTTTCTGGGTAAGTCACAGCCGAGGGTATGGAGAGGACTAGCCTGAATGGCACTTGGTGCAGTTCTAACCCAGCCTTGGGTCTCCTTAAACTCCTGGTGCCACTTGGATTCCTAGAGCTTCAGAAGTGCTTGATGGTGCTGGAATCTGGAAGTTGGGTTTCTCTTAGATGTGGATCCAAGCTGCAAAGTTCAGACCTGGGTCTGAACTTCCCCAGAGTTCAGGGGTGTTGATTCAGGCCTGTCTCTGATTTCTTTAGTAATGTATGGAGAGTAGTTGCTTTGCTGAAGGAGGCGAGCGCATCCTACATTGTGCTCCTTCTGGGCCCTGTCAGAATTAGCTGCCCCAAACAGATCAGGGTGCAGTCTAGAAAATAACCTAGCAAAGTGCACCTCACAGCATGGGCTTTTACCACTTTTGGGAGGAGGGTGATAATGGGAGTTAGAGGAGTAGGAACTGGACTGCAGTGTTGCCACGCTCAAAAGCTCACAATTTTTATCATGTGTCTTGTGATTTTGGGGGTTTTTCCTCATGCCCTGGCTGTTGGAGTCAGGGTATTGCCTGACAATCTGTCAGCTTTCATTTTAAAAATCAGGTAAGTGTCTAGCCCTCACAGCTGTGAGGAAGAGCTCAAAACACTAAACACTCCACCAACAAAAGGCAACTAAAAAGAACCCCAAACTTTTTTTTAATCTCATGATTTTTAAGCAAATGTTGATTTTTATTTATTTATTTATTTATTGAACACTGGGGGGTTGGCAAATCTGGGTCTGGGTGTTAGCAGAGACTGCCCAAAGCCAGTCTTGACATCTCGTCACTTACAGCATCATCCCACACGCTGTGTAACCTGTTTTGGGACAGAGAAGAATGTACAATGGCCGCAGGCTCTAGCTTTCTGTTAGGGGATTCTTCTACTCCATGCTCGCGCTCCAGATCCATTGACATTTGAACTCCCTCGCTGCCAAAGCATCAGACTTTCCTCTCCACGCAGTCAACACACAGTGTTTGTGTGTGTCATGCCATTCCAATGAGTCACAGCTCCCCGGCACTGTCCTGCCCCTGCACGCTCCCCCCTGCCCCCCCACTTTCAGGTCATTGCATAATGTGACTGGTGGGGGAGCGCGGAGGGGGCTGAAAGGGGAAGTATTGGACCTAGAGTGCATCTTCTCCCTGGGCCCTGTATTGGCAGCAATCAGCTTTGTGCCACATCGCCTGCTGTTCACCTATTCCCCCCTAATGCAGGGCCCCATCCAATGGCAGGGCCTACTTTCCAAAGGATCCTCCCTTTCCAGTCCTCTGTTGTATCTCCCTCACTCCTGGAAATCCCAGCACCACACCAACCCACTCTCTAGCTGGCAGTGGTTGGTGTCTGCTCCTCTGGAGCCCTGCAGTGCTGCTTTAGCATTGATCAGAATAAAGTGTTTGCACAAGAGATCTGCGTTTAGAACAGCACTCGCTTCAGTTTCTGCCTCCTTCACAAACTAGCTGGGATCCCAGGTCAGGAGTGCCATGCATTGGCAGAGCTCGGACTGGAGGAGGCCAGGACTGGCCCAGCAGGGGGTGCTGCAGGGCAGGGTTGAGGTGCACAGGGGAGTTTGGAGGAAGGAGGAAGCTGGAGGAGGGCCTGCATGCCCTCTGCCTGACTCCAGCTACTGCTGTTTTTTAATGACAAGCACGAAAACTGCTTATACTCATTGAAAGAGAGAATGTACGCAAACAACTGGAAAAGGCTGTGATCTCAGCCCCGGATTCAAGCCACCTTCTCCACCCACTCCCATGTCTGGGCCTTCCCGCTGGCCCCTGGCACCTTGTGCTCTGAGGGCAGATGTGCAGAGAATGGCCAGGTGTTGGTGTCCCTAGAGATCAGGTTACAGAGAACAAAGGTTCTGCTCACTTCATCCCCTCTTCCAACCCCACTCACAATTCTTCCCCTGCTTCCTAAGGTGGTTTCCAGGCTGCTGCTGCCTTTGTCTGCCTTCCACCCCCTTGTCTCTTCCACAGCACTCGGCAGACAAGGCCATGCTAGTCCCAGGAGGAGACATCCTTTACTATGAATCTTGGAGCCAGCTGTGGCTGGGGGTGGGGGAGACACCTCATGGTCTTTCAGACATGGCTTTGTACCTCAGGGATTCTTTTGCTCCTTGCTTTTTACAAGAGACAGAAGGCCTACGACAGGGGAGCTTGTGTACCATCTGTTCAGTGGTTCCTCAACAATCCTGTTGCTAGGATAAGACCAGCTTAAAGAGCTACGGCAAGCTATCCTGGCAACTAGAGATGCTCTCCGGCCCCACAGAGAGCTGTCAGAGCAACTGGAATAATAGGGCTAGCTGTTCTGTATGGCTCATCCATCTTGGGGGTTGTACGTGACTCTTCAGCCCCTTGGCACTCAGCATGAGATTAGACCTTGAATGTATCTCAGATGCAGAACTGAATCTCACCCATCCAGGGACTAGGGCGGGTGTAATTTGGGCAGGAGGGTGGGTGAGGAATTCCACAACTGGAGAAAAGAAGGGAACATTTCTGTGATGAATTGATTTAGAAAAAGAAAATGGTGGCTGTTCGAAGCTGCCCAGCACCTTGGGATGTTAGGCGTAGGCTGAGATCCTCAAAGGGATTCAGGCACCTAAATCCCATTGAAATCAGTGAGTGCTAGGGGATCACTTTGGGGATTTTGGCTTCGCTGTGAAGGGGAGGTGGGTAAATGGGTAGAGTGCAGGTGAGGCAATTGCATGGTGCATGATAAATTGTGAACCCACTGATGTATTCCATGGGCTTATAATAGATCACATGTGGTAAATACCAGAGACAAGTGTATAATATGCTTGTAGATATTAAATCACGTGGCAATTGGTGCTAAAAGATCTGATGTTTTATCCCCCAGCTGAACAAGGCAGCTTCTGTCAAAGGGAAGAGTGTCTCTGTGGTGAAAGAATCCCCCTGTGTCTGCAGCAGTCAAGGAAAAAGGTCCTCGAGGAACTATGGGGAGCAAGAAGAAAATCAGGTCAGTGCCATTCCCACAGTTTCTTACCCTTTGGGGCATAATTCTGGCCTCTGGCTAAACTGCTAGCTGGTTGTCCGTTGCAACAGCTGGGAGTCAGGTGGGCCAGCTCTTCCCATCCAATTGGATGATGGAGTATGAGTTTTCCCAGGTCCTGATTTCTTTGCATGTACACAGAGTTTGGTTTTAATCCACCTGTAAGGGCTAAGAGCACGAGCAGAAGACATCCTAATCCTACTGCTTGTTTCCTGATTTTATGGGAGGTTAATAATATTGTTAGATAATATGGGTTATAGGCTGGCCAGTTAATCTGATCAGATGATGATACGGTTCTTGTCCCAAAATCAGGCAGTCTTTGGGATGTATGACAAGGAAACCTCTCACTGAGAAAATGCAGCTTTAAAGCCTTTTATTGAGATAAATAGAACAGTAATGGAATAGTAATCAAATAACAAATACTCAACTGATTACAAAAGCAATAATGTTCTAGCAGTTCGTGTGGTATTATATACTATAAAAGTTTCTCAATTAATTTACTCACACCCTTCCTTGATAACCTGGTGATAAGAAACAAAAGGATTAGCCTTGCCTCTGGCATGCCAAGAGGGTTTGCTGGTCCAGGTTCCTCAAGTCTTGAGTGAGAGATGAAGAAGCTAGAGCTAAACGCTATAGAAAGACCATAGAAGCTAACTTAGAGTTTACTTAAAACAAGGAAGAACAAACAATAAAACAAGATGAACCTTCCCAATATTGTGGGTTGCTCCTGTTATAGGGCCTGATCCCTAAGTGCCCTCCTTCCATGTCCAAACTTAACTTCCGCACCCACAAAAATGTTAGGGTATGCACTTATTCTATAGGCTGGCATGTTCATGTGTATTAATGAAATATTTGTAACTATTAGAGACCATTAGCTCATCCTCACCTCTGTTGTTTCTGTCCTAACTGGTTATTTCCATGTTCTTTGTGGTGTATCTGTTAAGTCTGACAAAGGCCATGAACTTAGGTGGCCTTACCTACCAACTTGCTTTAACTTGCCCACTTATCTATGCAAAAGATCACAAACATATATACTAACTTGTCTTAGGTTAAGCTACAGAGCCTGCGGCCATTGTAGGTACCTTGCATTACAGCTAAAATACTCTAATACAAATTGATAAACCTATTATAATAACAAATAACAAACCTATAATGTAACATGGTCAAACTCATAAGAAAAGATATATATGCATGCAAGCAGCCTAGCTCTACAGTCTATTGTCCCAGCATCTGCACCACCTCTGGGACTTCATAAGCAGCCCAGTTCCCTTTCGCAGCCTTGCTTGGGCCAGTTGTGTGAGGTTGCCGGGCTGTGTTACTTCAGTGAGTAGGGATCGTAAAACCCTGGAAAGTCCAAGGCCCTTTGGTGCTCATCAAGCTCTGCAGTCTGTGCTGAGGTGGTTGGCTGACCACCTTCCCCTTTCTGCCTGGGAGGGAGATGTTAGCCAATCAAACTGCAGAATCAGTCCACTCACTAGCAACCTTTCCCAGCCCATCCAGAGAGCTCCTCATTAGACTGAGGAAAAGCCTGGCCCAAGGTTTGGTGGATCCATGTGTGAAATCCGTTTAATAGGGGCTCAGGTTGGCTCCTACTGCCTGGGCTGTGCAAGTGCAAAGGGTTTGGTAGCTGATTTGGGTGGAGGGGGGCTTGTCACAAAAGGGTGGGATTGCAGCTGTGGGGCCTAACTGTGCTAACTACATGGGAAATGAGGAAGCAGCCATTACACTCTTGTTCCCATGCTCTGGGGATGGGTCCCGAAGAGCAGCAGTCCTTAAAAGGGGCATGGCCTTGTGCAGCATCCCTGTTGGTAGTTGCGCAGGGCTGACCTTCAGATTTCATTCATTCTTTCTGTTTGTGATTGAGATTTTCAAAGCTGCCAAGGAGGTTTTGCCACACAACTCCCATTGAAAGGACCTGAAGAAATCCCTTGGGCAGCTGTCAGTCTCCACTCTTTACTCTCCACTGTATCTGTCTAAGGTACTTACATGGGCCCGTTACCACCTCACAACACAATCTTTAATGCATTTGTCCTCCCAACACCCCACTAAGGTAGGGAAATGCTATTAGCCCCATTTTACAGATGGGGAACTGAGGCATGAAGAGACAAAGGCCCAGGTTTTTAAAGGTATTTAGGTGTTGCTGTGCTCAGCATCACAGCACCTAACTGATTTAGGAACCTAAATCTCCTTTTCAAAAGGAATTTAGGCTCCTAGAAGGGGATCCAGGAGGGATCGGGGGCAGGGCAAGCAGCTGTCATTCTATTGCTGAGAGTTGCCTGTGTGGTGTTGACCTCTTCCCTTCTCATTTCAGTGTTCCAGCGAAGTTAATTAATGGAGGTGTGGCCGGGCTAGTGGGAGTGAGCTGCGTCTTCCCAATTGATCTGGCGAAAACCCGTCTTCAAAACCAGCAGGGACAAGGAGTCTATACTGGAATGTATGTGTTCTTAGAACCCCCCAGGTGGGGGCACTAGTAAGTGAACATAAAACTGTCCCTAATCCTCCCTGCCCCCCCAACAATGGTGGGGGTGGCTGGAGCTGAAGACCTCTTCCTCAGCTGTCCCTGTTGTTCATTCCTCATCCACTGAGGCACAAGAGGCTTCTGCTCCCAGCTGACTCCCTTTCGTTTTCTTTTGTCAGGGGATCCACCAACTAGCTCAGTCTTAGGGCATTACCACTGATACAATACATCTTTGATAAGAGTTCCTGGGCCCCAAAGTGGCTTTTACTCTGCATTTGGCTGGAGGCACAAGGAGGGGCAGGAGAGGAACGAGGCATCTCTAGGGTCCGGGGCGGTGAGATAAGAAAATCATTGAACCAAAATCCCTCCACAAAATAAAATAAAATAAAAATTCCATATTAATAGATAAAGGGCAGTGAGGAACTCAGTAGGGGGCTTGCGAAATAGAGTTGTGCATGTTTGACTGAGCATACATGGCTGCCCTGTGGTTGTCTGTATCCTGGGAATGTTTACCTCTCCCCATCCCCTCCTCTCTCAGACATGATGCATGCTGGGAAGAATTTCTCTTGAGTTTGTTCACTCATGTTCCAAGAGCCTCATCCTGATGAAAGGATGCAGGGCAAGTCTGCACTGTTCTGTACAAACAGTGCCAGCTCTCAGCCTCCAGCAGCCCTCAGGGAAATGCCCCTTCCCTGGGAAATGCTCTTTTCCTTCTCCTGTTGATAAGGGCAGAGCTGAGATGTCTTAAGCCAGTGGTTTTCAAATTTTTTTCTCGTGACCCAGTTGAAGAAAATTGTTGATGCCCACGACCCAGTGGAGGCGGGTCAGAAGGGTTTGGGGTGCGGGAGGGGCTCAGGGCTGCAGCAGCGGGTTGGGGTGCGGGGATGAGGGCTGTGAGGTGGGGCTGGGAATGAGGGGTTCAGGATGTGGGAGGGAGCTCTGGGCTGGGGCAGGGGGTTGGGGTGCGGGAGGGGGTCAGGGCTCTGGGCTGGGGGTGCAGGCTCCAGGGTGGGGCCAGGGATGAGGGGTTTGGGGTGCAGGGAGGGGGCTCCGGGTTTGGAGGGTGCTCAGGGCAAGGGATTGGGGTGCTGGAGGGAGTCTGGGCTGGGAGTGCAGGCTCTAGGGTGGGGCCAGAGATGAGGGATTTGGGGTGCAAGAGGAGGCTCCGGGTTTGGGGGGCCTCAAGGCTGGGGCAGGGGATTGGGGCATGGGCTTTCCTCCGGCGGCTCCCGGTCAGCGGCACAGCAGGGGTGCTAAGGCAGGCTTCCTGTCTGTCCTGGCACCGCGGACTGTGCTGCTCCCCAGAAGCAGCCAGCAGCAGGTGTGGCTCCTAGGCAGAGGCGCTCAAGCAGCTCAGCGTGGCTCTCGCCTGCAGGCACTGCCCAGCTCCCATTGGCTGGGAACCGGACAATGGGAATGCGGAGCCGGTGCTCTGGGCAGGGGCAGTGCACAGAGCCCTGTGGCCCCGCCTCGGAGCCAGGCCTACTGCTGGCTGCTTCCGTGGCACAGCGTGATGTCAGAACAGGTAGGGACTAGCCTGTCTTAGCCGGGCAGCAGCGCCGATGGGACTTTTAACGGCCCGGTCGGTGGTGCTGACCATAGCCACCGCGACCTAGTGCCTTACGTTCCATGACCCAGTACTGTCTTAAGCTACCAATGCTTCTGGGACTACAAAGGAAAAGAAAGAGGCCCTACAGGCTCTGGATGCTAGAGGGTGCTGCAGGGCAACAGAACTGATTCGTTAGTGAATGCTTGTAAAGCACTATGAAGATGGGGAAAATATTTAAATGTGCCCCTCCCCAATGGCCATAAAGGAGCAGACCCAATGGCCTGTGCCAGGGGTGAACGATTGGGTGTAATGTGTATGGAGTGTTCTGCTGGCAATGTGCACAGTTTTGTTATATAGCCCTGCCAGGAAAGAGAAGTTCTAACGGGTCAGAACTGTAGCTACAACTGTGTTTAAATATACTTGTTGTTGCTAATAGAGGTTCTAGCACAATTTCTCTGACCAATGGGCAGAAGAAGGTTTTTTGTCCTTGAGAACCCTGCTAACCAAACTGTGCTATAGAGCAGTGTCAGGGCCCCTGAGGTGGGGAGAAAGGGTCACGAAAGGCAAATAAGGGGTCACAAGGCATGAAAAATTTATTACACTCTAAAGAAAAGAAGATCTCGTTCCCCCACTGTCTGCACACTCTTACCCTTCAAGGTCAGATATTCTCAGTCAATCCCCCGAAACGCGCACACAAATAAATTATCCTAGCTTATTATTACTTTTCACTCTTTTACAGTCAGTGTAAGAGGTTGTGGAAAGTTTTGACTTTAAATAAGGGATCTCCAACATGAAAAGGTTGAGAAACGCTGCTCTAGAGTATCCTCCAGCACGCCGTCTCTATAGCATGATTTTATTATAACATTTTACTTTTGGTCAAAGTATCCCTGTCCTGTCAGAGCCGTGCTAGGCATCTCTGTGTTAAATATGGTAGTAGCTAGGATAGTTCTTTTCCCAGAATGGGACTTTTGTCTTGTTTCTGTCTATTCCCTCTACAGAAGGATCTGCCAAAGGGTGGTGGGCATGTGTGTATGCATGCACATACTACTGCCCTGCATGAACGGACTATCCAGCCTGCTCCAGGCATGTGATCATGTTGCCCCCTAATGGCCTCTACCTTCAGAGGCTGTGAACTCTAGCTGTAGTGCAGCTAAAAGGGTTGTTAGTAGCAAACTAATGGCACAATCCTGGGGCAGCAGTAACTCACCCCATTTCTCTCTCTCTGGTTCCAGGCGGGATTGCTTGGTGAAGACTCTGCGTTCAGAGGGATTCTTCGGCATGTACCGAGGTAGTCTCTGTGGGAATGTCGGGAGGGGCCTCTTTGCAGTGGATTGGCCCATTGTGTCAGTTACAGACTCTCAGCAGAAGCACATACTGCCACCTGTACGCCTCTTCTCGGGAATAGAGACATTATTTCAGACCCAGATGTCCCTGAGGCACACAAAGTCATTGTTCTCACTGAGCACAGCTGACAATTACTGACAAGAGAAATACTGGCTCAAAAAAAGGAATCTTTCCGAGAAGAGCAGTGGAAATTATCAGAGACAGGACGATATGAGAGAGAGAAATTAAATGATGACTAGAAAAGGCCAGTTGGATGCTCCTAATTTACCTTATTAGTAGGCTTGACAGAATTTGATTTTTATTTATCATTTTGACAGATAATATTCATGTTCATTTATAAGCATTTTTAGACTTTTATTCATTGTATTTATTTTTATTTAAATTGTGAAACATTAGGGGGAGATCAGACAATAATTATTTAACAACAGTAACTGTTGAGATTCAAACAGTTAGTTTTATAATCGTTACAACACAAATTGTCAACATCGCATCTCAAAATATATAAGTAAATATCCTTAAATCAAATTCTCAAGCTGCATTTTTCTTACTTTGCCTACCTGTACATTTGGAAATATTTTTTGTCTGTTTGTGTGTACAGTGAAATCTAATCCTTTCAAGCCTACTTAGTAGAAACAGAGAGGGTGCTTGCTGGAACTGAAAGACAAACGGATGGATGAAAGCAAATACCCGATACCCTTCTACCTGATATGTAATTAGCCTGTGGAACTACCTGCTGCAGGATATTATTGAGACCACTATCTTTATTTAAAAGGAAGGCATATTTATATGAATAAGAACAGCATCTACAATTACACTAGTTAGGTTAAAAAGTTACAAAGGTGTAAGCCCTCACGCTTCAGAGCATAAAGTGATTGTCAACGGGAGTCAGAAAACGAATTTCTTCCCTTGGTGAAGCACTGCAGAATCAGGCATTTTAGAGGGTTGGCATCTTCCTATGGCATAGCCTATTGCTGTTGGCAGAATGTTGGAGTGAACGGAGCATTGATTGTTGTGATGTGCCCGTTCCTAAACTCCAGTGAAACCAGGAGCAATTGGAAGCCTAATCGCTCTGTTAGCGTTCCTCCATCCTTCTCATCATATAGATTATTTTGTAAGAAGAGATTCTCTCCTGTCCCAGCAGGCCCCAAGGTCCCTGTGCACTTGTAATGGGAGCCACCATGGGCTCTGCACATTTGTCCCAGGAGTCCCCTCACAATACTAAGCATTTAATTCTGAGGACTGCCAGGTAGGGCTCAGTGGAGCTACTGCTGCTCCACAGGCCACAGTTTGAGTACACGGCTGTCCATCAAAGCACTGGCTCTCATATACCATTCACAATCCCTCCGCATCTTTTCCTGTTCCTGGGTCTGCCTCCATTATTGTCTCTTTGAAAGGCCCCTCTTCCCCTGCCCTTGGAAGTTGTGACCAGCTGAGACCTCAGACACTCGCTGCATGGAATCATTTGCACGAGATGTCTCTCTTCCCCATTCTTACTTTGAGTAATCAATGTGGGAGGAATTTCTAATACACCATGGAACGTGACTGAATTAGCCCTTTATTGCCCCTTCTGTTCTTGACCAGGGGCCGCGGTGAACCTGACACTGGTCACGCCAGAGAAAGCAATCAAGCTGGCAGCCAATGACTTTTTTCGACAGCTGCTGTCACAGGACAGGTACAGAGGAAACGTCACTGTCTAGTTTTGGCCTTGCAAAAAATGTTACTTGTGTGTGTGTTGGGGGGAAGTATTTGTATGAAGCTATAGACAGACATTTAGTTTTGGGTGTGCATGTGTATTTTTGTAGTTGTGAGTGTGTTTCTATGGGGGGTCTGCATAGTTATGCAGGTGTGTAGCTTTGTGGGCGGTTGCATACCTGTGGTTCTGTGTGTACAGTATGTGGGTGATGAGTATGTGTGCATGTCCAGGATCATTATAGGTATTTTTTGTCATTCTCTGAAGTATCTGATACACAGCATTACCAGAGACTAGGTGGACCATTGAGCAGTTCCTTTGGATGTGCATATACTGTGTGTGGGAGTACATATCAAGCATGTGTGGGTGGGTCTTTATATGTCTGTACAGTAGAGAGGATCATAGAAATTAGAGATGGAAAAAACTGTGAAATGCTAAAAGTCCAGACTCCTGTCAAGGAAGCATATAATACCTGTATTCATAAGGGATAAAAGCAAACAGCTTTTAATATTTAATATTAAAATTAACTCATGGAACTCACTGCTGTAGGATGTTATTGAGACAACTATATTAGTAATGTTTTTAAAGGAAGAGACATAAATGAATGAGAAAAGGATCTATAGTGTCTAAGAGTACATTAGCTAGGATGAAAAATTATAAAATTATATTCTTTAAGATATTGAGCCAGTCATTAGCTGGGGTCAGGAAAGAATTTCCTCCCTTGGTACAGCAGTGTAAAATCAGGGGTGTTTTAGGGATTTTGTGCAGCAAAGGTCACAATTGTAGGCAGGCTGTTGGAATAGAGACAGCATTTATGGATGGGTGCATATGTACCTGCGTTCTGCGCAGGGAGTACATGGATAATCAAGGCGGTGTGTGCCGTTGTGTGCCTGTTTCTATGTGGATATGTGGCACAGCATGTCTAGTCTGTTTCCTTATAGCTCAGGATACATGTCTAAGGACTCAGTGCAGAGCTGTCATGCTGGGGTGGCCCGGCAGCATCAAGATGCAGCATGAGAAGGCTGTGTAACCCCCCCCCACCACCACCACCTCCAGATAGCTGTGTAAATCTGTGTGACTGCCTGCCTGTCTGTCTCTCTTCCTTGCATTCCCTTTACATCTGTGTTGTTCCCAGCAGGAAGGAGTTGACGCTGGTGAGGGAGATGCTAGCTGGCTGTGGAGCTGGGGCCTGCCAAGTGGTGGTCACCTCCCCCATGGAGATGCTGAAAATTCAGCTTCAGGATGCTGGACGACTGGGTTAGGCCCTATTTTGCATGGCGGGGGTGGGAGTGGACATCCAGATTGTTGCTTCAGATTCTGCAGTAAATCCCTTTGTCACAGACTTCCTGAGATCCCGCAGGTGTCATAGTCCCTTTAGAATGCAGATCTCACTGAGCCCTTGATGCTCAGGAGCAGGCTTGTGCAGTCCCCACCACCTCAATCCTTGCTGAAGGGGAGTGCACAGGGACCCCCGTCTCAGCCTCTCCCAGTAAGCAGTACCACAGGGAATGACATGGGGACACTGGCTGTGAAAAGAGCTAATGGCTCCTGCAGTCCCAGCCACAGACAGCAGTGATTATAATTTAAGTGCAAAGCGTAATTTGGATTTAAGAACAAAAGAAATCCCTGGGGAGAAATGTAGAAATGCAAGACTCTTTTACCTGTTCAACTGCGTAAATGTTCAGGATCTAATTTCTGGACTGGTACAATAGACTAGTAATTGCCTCATGCTCCCATATTGGGATCTGAATTCAAACTCCACATTCGGCGTTTTACCGTCAGGCTGATTGTTGGTGAGTACGTAGAGAGGTTACACTCTCCATTCCCGGGGTGGTGGGGAAGAAGTGGTTAGTTCTGATGATCTCAGGACTGCTTGAGTGATTTGGACTGGGAAGCCCTAGTCGGTGACACAGAGAGTGATAGGGTGGTGGTTAGAGCTGGGTGACATTTTTTCAGCATTTTTCAGGATATTAAAACTATTTGCAAATTCGGGTTGAATTTGGCAAATAGTTTTGGCTGGGGAAAACAACTGGTTTATTTTTGTAGAAACGTTTTGTTTTGACATTTTTGAAACAAACTGTTTCCACATTTCATGGCAAAATGGTATTTTTGAAACAAAATGTTTTGAATTGACCCAAATTAATTTTTTTTTCTTTTTCATGTTAAGAAAAACCGAGAACAATTACTTTTGGTTTGAAACTAACCAAATTGTTTTGGATTTTTTCGGTTCAGCCATTAACCTACAAAATCAATTATTCTCTCAGCACTAGTTGTTCTCACCTTCTGGGCAGGAGTGATCTTTTGTTCAGGAAAGGATTTAGGGGCAGGTCGCCAGGAAGCCAGGCAGTGACTTGGGGGGAGGAGGGGGTTGCTTAGCAAAGAATGAGGGATCCCCTCTCCCTCCAAATACCCAATTCCTCTTTCTTGTTTGTTTTCAGCTGTTCATCAGCAAAAGGTTTTGGGACCAGATGGGCCAACGGCTCCCTTCTCCCAGCCGCCTCAGGACAGGCCTTACACCACTGGCACAGCCTCAGCATTAAGGCGCCCCTCAGCCACCGTGATCGCCAGAGATCTTCTGAAAACTCAAGGGCTAGTGGGACTGTACAAGGGATTGGGAGTCACCCTGCTCAGGTGAGAAGTGGGGAGACACAGGGAGTGATGAGTCAGTATGGGAAACCAGTCCCACCCTACTCCAAGGAGGAAGGGTGGGGAACCTCCTGCAAACCAGGGGCTTGTAATTGGTCTCTCCCTCCTTACTGCATGGTTTTAGCATCTGTTCCTGAAGGACTTGCCCCAACCACCTGGCAAACAGGAGGGGAAAGCTGTATCAGCAGTGTGGTCTAGTGGATAAGGCATTGCACTGGGACTCAGAAGACTTGTTTCTATTCCTAGCTCTGCTGCTGGCCTGCTGGGTGATCTTGGGCAAGTCACATCAAAACACTTTTCCTGTCTGTAAAAGGAGGATAATGACACTGATGTCATTTGTGAAATGCTTTGAGATCTACTGATGAAAAGTGCAACATACGAACTGGGTGGTATTATTTATTATATCTGTATTAAGGAAACTCTTCTCTGTCAAATCAATCACTGTATCTAGTTGTCTTTTTCCTTTCCCCCTTCTATTACTGCGAATTACGGGCTGCCATTAAAGCAGTGAACCAAGAAGTGCTAACCAGAACTGGGATGATGGGGCCACAAGCAGCTCTAGAGGCAGTTCATGCAACTCCCACTGGCTTCAGTAGCACCTCAGAGGGTCACAATATAAGACCAGAGCTGGCTGAAAAATGGAACTTCCTTGTGGGAAGAAAATTCCAAAATATTTAGTTTTGGAAGCAGCAAAACGTTCCTGCAGCGAGAACATTTCTGTGTTCCCAAAACAAAATATGCTTCCTAGAATCCCCTGCTCCCCTGGCTGCCTGCCTGGCTCCCCAGAGAGCTGGGCAGCCTGCCCACCTGCCAGCTGGGGGCAGTACAAGGAGACAACCACCAGGAGGGAAGCCTGGGGGGACAGCTGCTTGCAGGACTTGAGAGCTGGGCAGCCCACATACTCACTCTGGGAGGCAAGCAGGCAGGCAGTCCAAGAGCTGGAGAGCCCCAGCATCCCGCCAGGCCCTGGGAACTCTGACTCCTTGTTAGTGCACTAGGTTGGTGCAGGGTAGCTGACAGAAGACCAGGCGGACTGGAACTGGCTATCCTGCCTGGCTGGTTTCCATTGAAAGTTTGACAGAATGAACACTTCTCACTGAATAGTTGGATTCTGTGGAACCAGCGTTTTCTAAGGGAAGCCTGTTCTGTAGGAAAACTTTCAACCCGCTTTATATACGAGACACCCCTTTTGTTCAGGCCTGTAGGCATTGCAGTCCCTTGGCATTTAGTCCACTGCCTAGGTGACGTGAGGGCCAATGGAATATTTTCTTAGTTGAACTGATCTAGCCCACGCAAAGTGCACCCAGATAGGATGGGAGCTGGGCCATCAAAAATAACTGGAGCGATATTTCATCAGTGTTCTTATTGGTCAAACTGAGTGACATGCACAGAGTACACAAGCCTCATCAAGGGGAGCAAGTCATGTAGAAGAGGGAATGTCGTTCCTTTTTACAGTGTGGGATGGTGGTGTAACCATGGCTGGGAAACTGGGCTTGGGTCGGGGGTGTTGTTAAATAGGACTTTTTGCCTGAAAATGTCCCTTCAGCAGAGTCCCTTCTGCTATGCATAAAGCAAAACCAAACCAGAGATTCCTGGACTGCATGGGATGTGTACCTGCAAGGATGACTTTGGTTTTCCCAGTTTGCTCTTTTGCCTGAGTTTGGTGGCGGCTATGCTGGTAACTTTCCAGCTCTGGAATGGTCCTTGGGATTCCTGTTGCTACCCTGCTCCCCCGAAACATTGTTGAAAAGTATGCTTGATCCAAGGCAGGGTCCTACATCTGCCTCTTCTGCGCTTTTCTGAGCTGTCTGCCTCAAATGCTAAACCTGACTGCAATGCATTTTGCTTGCTCGGTCCAAGCTGGAGCTTCGGGCTAAACACCTTTGCCAGGTTGCTTTACAGCATTTTAACGTCTCTGCTCACTAGTTTCCCGCAAATTAATGAAAAGCAGCTCTTGCTTGTAGTTTTTTTTAACTGAGGGGAAATCCTTTGGTTTGAACCTTTCTCGAGGGAAATCTCCATTTATTTCAACACTTCAGTTCTAATGGAACACAAATAATTTTCCTTTTATAACCTTCTAGACTGACCTTCTTTCTGCTACCTCAGCAGCAGATGCTGAAGCTTTCTCACCAAATTCTGCTCCTCTCCCTGCCAAATGGAAAGTACACTCTACTCTGCACTCACCTGTTCCATTCCTTGGACAGATCCATTTTCACATCAGGCAGGAGACTCTTGACCTCCAAACTGCAGCTGTGTCTCATCTCAGAGTCACTAGAGCCATATTTTAGTGAGGATGAGGGCTTGGTCCCCATCTCCTCCCTGGCAGGTAGTGATGTGACCCACTTTGTACAAGAGCCTATAGGGATAGGAGAAGAGCGAGCCTGTGCCTTTTGCCTCACCTCATGTCAGAGGCCAGGCTCCCAATGCAGTCTGTGGTATTGGTCTATGTCGGGTGTTTATCTAACTCTTTCCCCTCCCAACAGGGATGTGCCTTTTTCCATTATCTATTTCCCACTGTTTGCCAACATCAACAAACTGGGACAGAGGCACTCTGAGAAGGCACCCTTCTTCCATTCATTCGTGTCTGGCTGTGTGGCGGGATCCGTGGCTGCAGTAGCAGTGACCCCTCTGGATGGTGAGTGTCTGAGGGCAGTACAGCCAGCCCTCCAGAGAGGGAGGAGATGGACTTCTCTAAACTCAGGTTGTTCAGCTGCTTTCATACCACAGCCCCAGATTTGGCCAATCTCCCCTGGCGGTCCTCAGGTGCAAGTCCTTGTGGTGTCTGAGTTGGTGGAATTGGTGGTGCTGGTGGCTGACCAAAATTATTACGCAACTGACTGAAGACAGGGAATAGGTTCAGGCTCCAAAACCCCTGGTCTCTCACCATGCTCACCTCTTTTCTGAGGACCCTTGTACAACACATGACTTACAAACACTGCTGGTAGAGAACTCTGAGGACATAGATCCTGCTCTTCAGATAACTGCTGCTGTACTCCCTGAAGCCCTGTGATTTCCCACATATGCAAATGCTGACAACTTCCTGAGGTTAGGGACCCCACTCACAAGAATGGCAGATGTTGCTCTTGAGGGTCACATCACTGTTCTTTAAACAAAACATCCTTGTCAACATCATCTGATTGTTGTATACGTGGTTCCGTTTTCCCCAAGGCTGGCTCCAGTCAGAGGGCTAAGACCCTGGAATCAAACCCTGCTGCTTCTCCATTTTCTTGATGAATAACAGCCACCTTCTGAGTGCAAGAGAGCCGGTTCAGAGTCCCCCTGGAAGAGGTTACATATCCAGAAAAAACTGACCCAGTGAGCACTTTGAGGCCTCTCCAATTTCCATCACTTCCTGATTGTTTGCTCTTGAGGTTCTCTCGGATTCACACCCACATGCATCCCCTGGGATCATTCATGTAGCATGTGTCTCTGTGATTAACATTAGAAGCTCTCCAGCATGAAAAACCAGGATCTAACAAGAGGGGCGGTAACTCAGATGTGTGGGGATATTTTCCAGTTCTGTACTGACTTGTTACAACTCTTGTTGTGAACTCTGCCTGGAGAGGATTTTTTTTTTAAATGTTTCTTTTCCATTCCATGCAATTTAGTTCTAAAAACCCGAATTCAAACTCTAAAGAAAGGCCTTGGAGAGGACACCTACAATGGAATCATTGACTGTGCCAGGTAAACCAGAATATTCCCTTGCTGCATGTCTGGTGTATTACTGTTCTGTGTCACCCTGTCCAATTGCCATTCCATTTAGCCCCTCCTTACTGTGACAGTGGATTACCTGGAACACCTGCCCCCCCGCAGCCAACACGCCTGCATAAATCCTTAGAGGGTTTCCTGGTGGGAAGAGTCTAGGATTAGATTGGCTCAGAACTTCCCCTGAGCTAGTGCTTCTGCTCTGTTCTCTACTGTAGCTCCTGCAAGGATTAGCTGGTACAAGAGTGAGTTCCCACAACATACCTGACAGCGCCTAATACTGAAAGAGCCTGCAGGGGACTAATAAACCACGACGTGTAAACCAAGTACTTTAAACAGCTGATCTGCTGGGAGATGATCACCTGGTTTATAACTTGTTCAGATGAAATATACAAGGCAAATGCTTAGACCATTTCCTGTGGGCGCAAGATGCTTCCCTCCGAACGATTGTTGGGTAATCCATTAAAAACCCTGCCTTTGAGTGCATCTGGTTTTTAATTTGAGGATTGTGAGTCTTGGTTTGTAAGTAACAACTGTCTGAAATGCTGCTTGTCTGGCTATCTAATTGTTTGTTTTTCTTTTTTAAATATACAGGAAGATCTGGACACATGAGGGCCCTGCTGCCTTCATGAAGGGGGCAGGCTGTCGGGCCCTGGTTATAGCACCCCTCTTTGGCATAGCCCAGGGTGTCTATTTTATTGGCATTGGTGAATATATCTTGGGATATTTCCACTAGAACTTGTTCTGGCTAAATCAGGCCTGGCTGAAGGTCGCACAAGTTTACTCCCCACTTCTGCAAAACTGGATTTGCCAGAAATGGACAGGACCATCTTGTAATCATTTCTCTTATGGATTGCACCACCACCTTCAGCTTTCTCTGCCCATGAGCAGGGGCCAATACTGGATGTCAGATATATTATGGCTTAAATTTCCTGCTACTTTCATACATCCACTTGATGTTCTGTTTGCTACAGCTAGCCCCTGCACATTTAAACATAGGGAAGAATGATTTATGTATCCTTACTTGTTTTCCCCAGGATAGTATAACACAATACCTTGTCCTTTGTGTGTGTAAGTAGAGATTCATTGTTTTCTTATAGAGTTGATCTCAAGGATTGTTTGAGGTCAGAGGGTCCTGTATGACCAAAGAGGCCTAGATAGAACTCAGCTCCCTAATGACCAGTTTGCCCATATATGATCTGCAATCTCTTGTCCAGTATCCATCTCACTTTGTTTTTAAATGCATCACTGTTTGCTTTACTTGAGAGTCTAGACTTGCTGTTCCTTACCCTAGTTGTAGAGAAGGTAAAATCTGGACTGAGTGTTTCAAGACTGCAGTGGCTGTTCCATCAAATAGCCCAAGAGGGTTCAAACTCACATGTTCCAGCAAGCAGTGTCTGAATGTAAACAGATGACTCACAGAAGTTAGAACACAAAGATGTAAATGTGAAACAGTTTTGTTCCTTCTGTGCAGGGTCAGAATGCAGTGGGGGGAGGGAGCGGTGGGGGGGAAGAAGGCAGCAAAACTAGAAAAAATTAAGGCTTAGGTGTACAGTAGTTACAATTACATAGAAATAAAGACTAATACAAATCAAATGTCAATTTTATACCAAAGCCTTAGTAGTGCAAAAACACTATGTGCCAGCTGAAGGCATCCAGCAGCTGGGCGTGTCAAAGCCATTTCTGGACTAGTTCTTGCAAATCTCAAAACTGTGATAAGCATCCTTACAAAAATTGCTGAAGGTTAGTGTTCTGGTGCAGGGCCTGCACGGGGGAACTGTACTATAATGGGAGCATTTCCTTTGGAAATGGAGGTACAAGGCAAGGTAGAAAGAAAAGACACTAGAATCCTGGGTTAAGTATTTTTCAGGATTCAGAACTGCAGGGTTTTTTTCATTATTTGATCTGCAATTTGTGTAGAGGAGTGAGGCTCAAACCTTTTTTGTACACCCTTTGTAAAGCAAGAGAATAACCTGTAGTCCTGCCTCTGAGCCTGGGAGATGAAGGATAACACTATTTTATAACTGTATCCCTGCAGCCTGCTAAGGAGCATATTCATGATGGCACACTAGGAAAGCCTTACTCCCACTGTGTGAAAGCAGGGAGGGTTGGCTGAGTTTCATTTACAGGATTAAACAGGGCTAGGAGTCAGGAAGTGTGTGTACTAAGCATCGCTTAGTTCCACTTACATTGTGGAACTGGGCAAGTCACCTATAGTTCACCCCCACAATCTGTACCCTAGGGATAATAAACATCTCAGGGATATTCAGTTAGTTTTTGTCACTGCCACATAGATGATGCAGGGAGGATAGCTATATTACTGTAAATCAAAGCTGCACAATGCTAGCAGCAGGAGCGACTTGGGGTAGCAGCAGCTGCTTTTCTAGCTAGGTTATTTGAGACCAGACCAGCCAAGTGCTGAAGTGTAGCTGCTTAAAGAGTAAAGTTTTTAACCTCCAACTGTGGAGGAAGGCAGGAGTATATCTGGCAGAAGAGGCTGATGCTTTTACAGCTCATAAGCCATCCTTAACAGCTGTCTCACTCTAATTCTGTCCCTGTCCAATGCCAGAAGGGGAGCTACTGCCTCACTTCTAGGAAGGGAAGGAATGAGGCTAGTCCTAGATTTCCTTATTCAGAATATTAGCTTTAATGTGAACAGTGCTAATATACTGACAGAACTTTTCCATCAGTTCAGCTTGCAGCAAAGTCAATGCTCTGAGACTCAGATTTTTATCTTAAGAGTACGAAGAGCCAATCAAAACCAAATGTTAGTAAATAGTAATATACATACACACCTCCTGCTCTTCCTGGCCAGAGCAGTTATTCTGTGCACATGACCTCTCTGCTTCTTCTGGGAAAGCAAGTTCACAAACTCTAGTCTAATGAGCTCATTTGTTTACTCTGTCCAAGCTCTACTTATAGAACATGGAGGCCTTGGCAGACCAGAGAATCCAGCTGATTGAGTAGCATTAGGGACAGTCTCCTCTCTGACTAGGAGTTGATATTTTAGTTTACTCGTTCAAGGTGTATTATGCATCCAGTACTATGTTCATATTTCTACCACCTATTAAATTACTACAAAAAGCTAGTTCTGCAGTACTGTTTACACAAAGTATTTGCTGCTTATTACTAATTTGTGATAACTACACTGATTACAAGAGCACTGTATTAAAAATACTTTTAATTATCCCTAGGGAAATTCTGCACAAATTAAAGTTGTGTGTTCAGAATTTCCTTCCCCCCCCGCCTACAGAAATGGGCTGTAGAGATGTTGGCCGCCACTAGGGGCCACTGGACCCAGCAGAGCTCAGCTCGCAAATAGATAATAAGGTGGGGGGGGGGGGGAAGAGAAGAGAACTGGAGGGTTCCCAGCAGTTGCAGTTCCCAGCACGCCCTGAAGGAAAGAGGTGGCATGCAGGAAACTCCCTGCAAGCTTGGGACCCAGCATCAGGATGTTTCTCCCTCTGGATCCCTGGGCTTCAGGAAGGTAGTGGGTGAGTGTGTCTGGGCTGGGGGCCCTGCAGGTGGCCCCTAGGAGATAGGGGGGTGAGTGTCTGGGTTGGGCAGTGGGTCCCTGCAGCTGAGCTCTGGTAGGGGGAGTATTAACTCTCTACTCTTGGGGAAATTTGTGTGTCTCTGTATGGTTAAAAGAAAAGGAGTACTTGTGGCACCTTAGAGACTAACCAATTTATTTGAGCATGAGCTTTCGTGAGGTACAGCTCACTTCATCTGATGAAGTGAGCTGTAGCTCACGAAAGCTCATGCTCAAATAAATTGGTTAGTCTCTAAGGTGCCACAAGTACTCCTTTTCTTTTTGCGAATACAGACTAACACGGCTGTTCCTCTGAAACCTGTCTGTATGGTTAGACATACTTGCTGACAAATATTTTGAAATAAGTTACTAAAATAACTGAAACTAGTGTTTTGACAACTTTTGCAGAATTTAATTTTTTGGTGCAGAATTCCCCAGGAGTATTTTAATATCTTTCTCCTATAAAGCTCTCTACATAAGAATCAGGACACAGACTTCAACTCAAGTGTGCTAAATTGAGAGTTAGCAAGTACTTACAGACAGAAGATCCTGTTAGAACTGGTGATGTACTTAGCTGTTGACCTAGAATCCCTACCCAACCTCCTCTAGTTACTCTGGAGTCACAGCATGCTGGTCAAAGACTACAGTGCACTCCATACACACACACACACACACACACACACACTCCTTTTTATTTTTAATAAATTAAGTAGTACAGGCTCAGACTTTACTCACATATACAGAACAGAAAACTCTGGGCCTGACCAAGCAAAAAGCTACACTTCTCGCCCAGGGAAGGGTTGCATGCCCTCTGTATAACAGAACACTGAGAAGCCCTTAACTGGAAAGGTTGCTTCGATGGGCAGCATAGTACTTCACAATCACTAATCTTACTATAGCCACAGGAGTGCAGGACAAGCCAAGAGCCCAACTGCATTCATTCTCCAGTGTCACTTCTGGACGGGTTGGTCTTCACCTCATTTTGATTAATATATTGTAACCACTTGATAAGTCAGGCAAAGCGCAGCAGGTATGCAAAATTATGCCACCGAAGAACACACATTGGACAACACATTATAGCATTGAAAAAGGTACTTTTAGGGTTTAAATGAATAGATGCTTTTTTGCATCTCTCCTCAATATGGCAGTGGAACAGATTCCACTTTCCCTCAGGCTTAGTCCAAAAACTTCCTGTTGGCATTGGCACCAAAGAGTGCCCCTCGGATTTCTGGCATCATCTGTTGAGAGAGCAGGTGCACCAGTTAGAGGCACAGTAATAAATACTAAGAGAGTTAAGCACTAACAGCAACTTAATATGCACAAAAGTTAAGAAATCCTAAACTGCAGTTCCATGCTGGAGACATGAATGAATAGAGTATTTCTGTCAGTGCAGTCAACTCTTTAGGGGATGTACAAGTTCACCTGCCAGATACTGGTGGTACTTTCTCACTGGGAGCAGACTGCAATCACTAACACAGTTGCAGCCTGAGCCAGAGGGACTCACCTGTTAAGCTCAGGCATGCGATCACCCCATCTAGTGCAAATCATATTCAAAAGACTAATGCAGATAATGGGAGGTCTATATTGCCAAAACCAAGATTCACTGGAGGCATGGTGGGGTTGCAAGGTCTTCCTTCTACACTGGACTTTAGAAGATTCTCACACTGACTCATAGAGTGGGTCTCTCTATTGGCCCATGTACTGCCACTAGCAGTAGAGCTTTATGAACACCATCTATTTTTGTACTATTCAGTAACAGGATCTTTTAATGCAGTTTGGTTCTTTAGAGACTTAGTCTTTCAATAGTCTAACTTCTCAAGAACCTAGCTGAGCATAAAACTCTGAAGAGAGGATGCTAGCAGAGATGTGCTCCTCCCCAAACTCCATACAACCCGCTGGATACTTTTTGCAACCCTTTGCTTGTCATCCATCTAAAGAGACCTGATCCCATAATAAGTTACTTTGAAGATTAAGAGGATGATTGAGACTAAGGGATGCTGACTTCAAGATGAAGCTTTTCACCTTACCAACGAAGACTGAGTAGGGAGGGATCCAACTCCCTCTTTCCCAAACTCACCTGCTGGGCTATGAGATCCAGTCTGCTTTCCAGGGTATTGGAAACCTTGATTTTACCATCACTGTTATAGATCTCAACACCTCCAGCACTAGAGAGAAAACAGACATTACAATAGACCTCAGCCTGACAAAAAGCCACTCTCCCAAACAACTGCTAGAATGTGTGTCAAAGGGATAAATCAACAGAAGTGTGTGGCCTCCTTTCTGCCTTTAAATGGACTCCAATCTTACTCCCATTACACTGGAAGCTAAAATAACCTGATGAAGAGAAAGACAGCCCTAACAATGGGCAGAGCATCCTAATGGGTAACAATCATCACCACCTAGCGTTTTAAGGATAGAGGGGACGTGTGGAGATTTTAGGTATGAAAAATGATTGACTGAAGTAGCCAGCTGAGCCTCCTCTCCACTACCCAATAAATATAAATTAGGCTACGAGGGTTAGTTTTCAGATTTTGGGACAAGAGGCAATGTATTATACAGATACCTTTAGAAGTGTTATTTCTTGTACCATTTATAGCTCTATGTAACAAGTTTGTTAGATCTTAACTTGAGTGCATCATTCAAGTGTTCTTTTCTATGTTACAGAACCAGTTTTCTGACAGTTTTGGAGGACAAAGCTTATCAGTGGGAAACGTATAATCCACACATTCCCCCTCACAACTTTGTTCTTTGCTTTATGTTGAACCTTAAACTTGGGCTGCACTTGCATGCCTTTCACCTCTAACAGACTGAGAAGTTACACTGAGTTACCAACTGCTGTTGCCTAGACCAAACATTCCCCTGCGCTGTGAATTGTTTTGTGGGCTGCAGCCAGATAACTATCATCTTTAGTTGCCTGGGAAACGGCACAGCAGGGAAGAGGACAGAAATTCAGTGTCAGGAGGAGTCAACTCCCACTAACTAGTGGCAGATGTGCCCTCAGGGGTACCCCTTTTGCCATTTCCCATAAGAGACATTTCAGACTCCCTCAACCATTAACAGTGCATTGAATCTCCAGCAAGTTACTACCCAGCACTAAAAGCTACTGTATTCCTTACATATCTTCTGGCAGGAATGTTTGCTGGTCAATGTGAACATCAATGTCTTTTTTGGTAGCAGCTTTGTAGATGGGAATGCTCTTCTGTACAGCAGCCTAGAACACAACAGATATCCCACTTCAGGCCAGAGATTTGAAAGACACGGAGTCCGCTGCGAGTGTTGCACAGAACTGATGGCTACTTAGTTTGCATTAGTGGAACAGGCATGGAGGGGAAATAATCAATTAGATGCCACAATCTCATTCATTAGTTCAGCCTCTCCAGGAAGGTGGTGCTATAGGAAAAATGGTTGTGGCCTAACTACTTTCTAACACATTTACTCCTCCCTTTGAATCTTGAACCAGAAGCAGCTGCCATCATTCTTTATATTATGGCAGTACCTAAAGTTGCTAGGTGCTTTTCAAACAGAGGAAGACACTCCCCAACCTGAAAAGCATAGTGCAAGAGATGAGGTATTCACAACAGAAGTGTTTCACTTGGTAGTGAATCGCCCCAGCCCCACTGCCTTATGATCTTGCTGGACAGGTTCCAAGCGGAACACCTTTGCAGTCACAATCCTTGGCTTTGTTTTTGAAGACATTTTATGCTACTGTAGCCAGAACCCCCTTACCTTAACCATAGAGAGATCCTGTTTCCGGCAACGGACATTCAGTCTGGGCTCAAGCAGCTGGTAGAAACCCTATGAGAGAGATAACTATAGTAAGAGGAGATAAAGGAAACTCCCATCATCTTATAATTGATTCATCAGCTCCTGTCATTTTCTGGGGTTAGTTATAAGACTAAGCAACTTTCTGCCATTACTTATTTCATACAGTGAAGATAAAAGTTCATTGGTTACAAGTCCCCCCTGTACTGTCATTCTGAAATAGGGCTGGCTATCGATTACTGGGAAACCCACAGTAACCAATGGTTTTGTTTATGCAAGAAATAAATAATCCTAATTTTTGGGGTGCAATGGCAACTAAATCTGGACAATACTGAGGGTTGGTTGAGAAGAATGAGAAAAGGCAGGCTAAGAGTCAATAGTCACAGATTAGGCTGAGCAAATATGCAACTTCTAGTTAAGGCCTGCAGCAGTATTTGGTCTCTGAACAGATACCACCAACTGTGCCAAAATGTTACAGGAATAAGAGGACAGTAGTTTAAGATGGAGGAAGCTTTTGGAAAGTATAGGGGACAATTTCCTGGTGCAAGTGCTGGAGGAACCAACAAGGGGCAGAGCTCTTCTCGACCTGCTGCTCACGAACAGGGAAGAATTAGTAGGGGAAGCAAAAGTGGATGGGAA